TGTGTGTGTGTGTGTGTGTGTGTGTGTGTGTGTGTGTGTGTGTGTGTGTGTGTGTGTGTGAGTGCGTGAGCTTCTCACGGCTGCAGGTTGATGATGTTGAGGACGTCCACCATGATGGACAGGTCATTCATGGAGACAGCAGAGTCCACAGCATTCTGCAGGGACAAAAAGTAATCAGATTACTGAGACCAGGAAGTAATCAGATTACTGAGACCAGGAAGTAATCAGATTACTGAGACCAGGAAGTAATCAGATTACTGAGACCAGGACTCTGGAGCTCAGGTAAACCTGGATGTGAGTTAAAGGAGTGAGTTTTGGAGCACCAAGTTCAGCGGGCAGTAAACTCACCTTGATGTCCTCTCGGGCCCACGTGGTCCGGACCGTCTGCAGGTTTTTGCGTCGGCTGCTCAGCATCACACACATGGTGTCGTGACCCTTCTTGATCTGGGTCAGGGCGTCGTCGTCGCTCAGGTCGGCAGCCTGGTTGTTGGCTGAGGACTGAACACAGAGACGGGTCAAACGCCCGCAGGAGGACAGGTTTGAGGACTGAATCAAAGTTCTGCGCTCACAGGCAGGAAGTCGGCCACGTTCAGTCCGATGGGCTCGTTCCTGGTGCTGGGGATGATTCTGGGCTGCGGTTTGAGTTTGGCCTTGTTGCTCTGGGTGGGCGGGGCAGGTGGGCTGGAGGGGGAGGGATTAGAGGACGGGGCGGGGCCCTTTGGGCAGGACACCACTGTCGGCTCCACCCTCTGAACGGGAGTGGAGGTGGCGAGGGGCGGAGCCTGTGATGGAGTGAAAAACCATGTGACTCCTGCCAACACTTCTGTCCAATCACAGCAGCTGCTGCATTCACTGACCTTCTGTTTATCAGGAAAAGGAGGCATCATGTCCTTCAGCTGTCGACTGATGGCCTTCACGCTCTCTGAGGAAGAGGAGAGACACCAGCCTTCATCAGGACCTCCTCTCAAACAGGAAACACTGACCTGATCTGTTTCAGGTGGACTCACCGTCCTCAGGAGGGGCAGGAAACGGCTCCGATATCCTGGGAGGGGTACGAGCTGAACGGGACAGAACCGGGTCGTTATTGTTCTGATTAAAGTGTTAATTAATGAAGAATTAGATACTCTGAAACTCAGAATCATCAACAGTTATTCACTTATTAACAGTGTGTGTATGACAGCATCTGTGTGTCACTCTGTTACCATGTTAGTGTTTATTACAGTGTAATAAAGTGAGTTACAACATGTGTAACCATGAACACTTGCCGTGCTCGTTCACTGTTCTTTTCATCTTGTAAATATTTTTTCTCCTTACCTTTTTTATCCTTTAAACTATTTTCTGTACATTTCCTCAGGGAACTGTACAAAAAACTTTCAATCTAATGAAACCAGCAGGTTGTGTTGAATCCCTTCATCACAGGTTCACAGCCTGAGCAGCACACTGGTGACAGTGGGAAGGAAAACTCCCTTTGAACAAGAGGAAACCTCCAGCAGAACCAGAACCAGGACCAGAACAAGCCTATGAGATCTCTGCAGGGGCGGAGCTAGACTTTTATGCAAGGGGCGGCCAAGGTGTTATCTATGGGTGCACATATAAATAAACTACCCTGAATTTTATAATTAAATTTAAGATGGCCACCACAGCTATATAATTCAGCCATTTCAAGACTAATTGAGCTGGAATTTGTTGTGGTGTAGCCAAGAATGTTTGCTAGTCTCAATTTAGGCTAACTGCTAATGCTAATTTTATAAAATGTGTTAATTCAGCCATTACACAGCTGAAAATTATATAGTAGTAGCCAAGAATATTCTTATAAAATTTTTTAATACAAATACAAAATCCAAGATGGCCACCAAACCCAATTGCGAATAGTTGGACTTCAGACTTTTTTTTTTTTAGAAATACTAAGATGAAATTTAGTGAGGTAGTAGCCAAGAGTAATCCTCTGGTCATTTTGAAATCTCAATTTTAACCATTTAGAGATACTAGGCTGAAATTTAGAGAGGTGGTAGCTAATAAATTCTAAAATAAAATAAAATAAAAATAAAAATAAAAGAATCCATGATGTCCACCAAAGCTATATTAAAATGGCTACAATTCAGCAATTCCTTTATACATATTGAGCTGAAATTTGGTGTGGTGGATTGTTGCTTTTATTTTAATTCAGTGGTTTAGAAAAAATTTTTTTTTCATCAAACACTTTTAGGTTCCCTCTAGATAATACAGCTACAGTTCACAACAGATATTTAGTTTTAACTGGCCATCTTTTATTGCCAAATATGATCCCCACTCCCACTTGTCACTGATTTGGGGGTGGCATCTGGGGTGGCCTTTCAGGGGTCTCTGCAGTACATAGGGGGAGTTTCTTGGCTGTGTGGGCGGAGTTTAAAATTTAGGGCCCAGTTTGGAATATAAGTGGAGGTTCTCAGATGTGGGCGGAGTTTGGCAAAACCGTGATTGGTTGGATTGACTTTTCTCGAGGGGCAAGTTAAAAGACCAAGTAATGGTAATAATAAATTATTGTAAACATAAATATAAATTATTGACTGTCTATTAATAGCTTAAAACAGAACAATGTCTCAAATAAAAATGATTGTGAATTTGTAAATATAATTTAGTGATTAGCACCTTTCTGTCTGGATTAATGAATAAATTAATACATGCATAAAAATATAGGTGCCCAGCGTTCATTTAGCTAAATCGTTATGGCTTCTTCAAACCCCACCCAAAATACTCAGTCCAACCAATCACGTTTTTACCAAACTCCGCCCACAAAAAATCTAACAGACCAATCATGTCTTTAACAAACTCCTCCCACAAACCAAAAAACTCCCACTTACTGACTGCAGAGACCCTCTTCTTAGACGAGCATCTATCAGTCTCGACCGGCTGGGTTTGGGAGAGCAGCTGGGTTTCTCTCTGTTTTACTTTAGTCTTGTGTAATTTTTATAACTTTTCTTTGCTACTTTCTTTAGCTTCTTACTGCCATGTTTTAATGACCACCTGAGTGTTCCTGGACTCCAGCTGTTGGTCTTTGTTTCAGCCAGTGAAGTGAAGCCAGTTGTGTTTTTACCAGAGTTCAGATGTTTGTCACCATGTGTTTTACATGACAGCTGAATGTTTTCACGTGTAACGCTGCAGCTCCACCTACAGATGGCGTTCTTTGGCTGGAAGATCTCCTTGTATTCTTCTGCGTTGTGAATCTCTGCTGATAACTGTTTCTCCTCGAAGTCGTCTTCGCTCGGGCTTTGTCTTTCTCCCTCGGGACTCCGCCTGTCGGCCTCGGAGCGCTGTCGCACCCTGATGACATCACAACACGAGAGAGCGACGTCATGCGCCTGTGTGGTGTAATCTACCCTACAAAAATCTTCAAGAAAGAACTTGATATTAACTGTACCTTCTGTAATTCTTCACCAGAAACTGTAACCCATCTGTTTTGTCCCTTTGTCAAATCATTTTGGCAAAATCTTTGTAACTTCATACACAATAATATAAAAACACAATTTTCCCTTTTTTGGAAATATGTCTTACTTGGTAAAACTAATTACAAATTTAATAATCCAGAATTTATCATTAATCTGTTACTTGTTCTAGCTAAATATCAT